TTTTTAAGCTTCCTTGCTTCCAGCTGCATTGTTTTCATTATCCCCGAAGACTTCTGCCTGCTCTGGGGTGACTCAAGCCATTTGTCTGGTCCTTCCTGTCTTTGTGTGGAGATGTCTCATCTGTCCAGTAGGCAACTGACTGTGTTTTTGAAATGACTTTATTTTTCAGATGTCGAACTCTCTCAGGTTCGCCCAGACCAAAGAATTTTAAGAAGATCCATTTTATCAAGAACATGCGGCAACACGATACCAGGAACGGCAGGTACTATACCCGTCAGTGCCAGAGGGTGGGCACAGGGACGAGAGGAGGGGACAGCTTTAGTGGCCAGAACTCAGCAAAGCCAAGCCCACACTTCTAAGATGGGCAGGATCTCATGGAACCTTCCCCGACGGTTTCCACACCACTCACACCAGAATCACCAAAAGGAAATCTGTAGAGAATAATGAATGCTCCCTAAGGCGAAGTGAGATATTTAGATCAGAAACAAACTGAGTTTTTCAGAGCACATGAAAGGATTTTTATAGAAACCTTTGAACAGAAAGACAGTTGAGTTTTTTTTTTTTGTGGAGGGGTTCTTGTTTGTTTTTCTGTTTGTTTTGTTTTCGTTTTTCACCACTGTGTGCTCTAGACAATAAATGCCCTCCCAGGTCTGCGCCTGAACTTAGTTGGGTCCTGGCTTTGACTCTCTTTAGGAGAGTAGAATCAGGACTTCACTGGCAGATTCTTCCTCGGTGCTGATCCGATTCCTGGGCCTGCCAACGTCTGGATTATGTGTTTCTCCAGCTCTTCAATTGCTCGTTTGGGAGCACCGTTAAATAAAACTGTTTGAAATTTATATAACCGTGATATTAAAACCTTCCAGACAACAGGTAGATCAGAATCTCCAGTGCCAGCATGCTCATGATTGAATAGCTAAGTCCATTCATCTCAGCCCCAGTGGTACGTGGGGACAGAGTCCAAGACCTCTGGGGTCCCTGATGCTCTGTAACCCTTGGGGGCAGTTGCTCCCCACTGACTTGAATAGGTGAATTAGAGACGCCATCCAGAGCTGAGGTCCGGCTGCAGACACTCTCTCGTTTGATCTTCTAGTTTATAGAAGACCATATGGGCCCCACTAATACTCTCTAATCCGTACAAAATGAAAATTGCTAAAAAGTCTTTTAGTTAGACTCATTAAGGCCCAGCATGACTGTAAGCCGGTGTGTAAAATACCCTGCACAGCCTGTATGATAACACACAACAATTACAGTTTTTACAGGCTTGTTGTCTTGAAGTTTATGCCTGTTTTTAAAGCCTTATAAGGACAGGGAACATTATTTCATAACAATTGCAGTGGTTTCAGAATAGCAAAACTGAGCTTTCCAAATGATTTTTACATCGTCAGTATATGTTCATATTTTAAGTACAGTGCTTTTAGTTTAAATTTACCGAGTTGTTATTTGTGAAATCGAATATTCTGAATTTTTCTTTCTCTCACCCTTATTTTCGCTGATACTTACAAATTGTTGTGCTTTATTTAACCACGGCTGTTGTCTTCTTTTGAGGCTTTTACTTACAGAATACAGAGCTTACTCATGCCATTTTAGAATAATTATTTATCGTTGATTTACATTTGTGTTTTTGTTCATGATCTCTTTAACCATAAAATAAATGCAGAAGACCTTTAATTTCTCAATGAAATCAATGACAAAGCCAAAGGAATGGGTCAAGCTAATAGTGTTCCACCTCTGATGCTAGCTGTCAGGACACAAAGTCAGATAATTACCCCAGCATGGTTAGGCAGTGAGAGGATGCAGTTCATAAAAGACTGGGATTAATGAGATTTCCGAAGAACATTACGGAGCCACCTTCCCCAGCACACGCTTGGCCTAGGAGAACATAACACAGCTCGCAATTGCTGGCAGTTTTGCTGGGGAGTTTTCAAGGGGAGCCAAGAAGATTCTTAGCTTATCTGAACATCTGAGAATTGGAATTTAGGGCAGGAAAGAGAGCTCTAAGGTCTATGTGGGAACTGCAGTCTGTGGGCTGAGGCAATGGCTGGGCATATGCCCAGGTGAGAGCTGGTTTTCCTCTGCAAAGGGCAGATGAAAGGGCTGGCAGGAGGGGCTGGCCCTCCCACTTGAGGTTTATTAGCAAGGAGGGATTGTCCTTAGATAGATGAAAGCGAGAGCCTGGGAGGAAGCCAGGAAGAAAATACGATTTTAAGGTGACAGAAGGAAATTATAGTCAAGAGCTAATGAATGGGAGGATGTGGCCCAGCCTTTCGAGAGAGGAATGCAGACGGAAGCTCTGCCCCACAGCAGCTGGGCAGCACTAGCAGAATCTCCTGCTGGAGGCAGCAGGGGAACTGGGTGAGCTCAGTTCCTAAAATGATGAGTAGGAGGGGTCCTGGTTGTGATCTCAGAGGAAGGGACCCCCGCATGCTGGTGTCGGGGTCTCCCATCCCTTCATCTCAGGAAAGGGACGTGAGTGTGCGGCACCTGCACAGTCCCCAAGGACCCTGCAGGCCCCCTCCCAGCCTGTGCAGTCACAGTCACATCTGCGCATCGGGCTGTCTTCAGCTCCTGAGTCTCCTTGGGGCCCCTGACGAGCACAGCCCAGCCTCTCAGTCTGCAGGCCAAAGCTGCGGCTCATTTGCTTTTCTGGCCCGGAAATCCCTGGCATGGAGGCTCCCATGTCCCCAGACCTACTGACCGTGTGATAGAGGCCCCAGTACTGAGAAGGATTTGTATTTCTTCTCTCAGCAAAGACCAGAGTGCAGCTCAGGAAATGAGCAGGGAGTCTCTGTTGTGAGACTCAGGTCTGACCTAACCAAGGGTTTCTAGCACATTTTGAGACAGAAAGAGGAAAACATGCTTTTAAAACTGAGAACCAGATATAATAAAAGACAATACTTGTGGCATTGAAAAAACAACTCAAGTATACCTCATCATCAGTATCTGAGTAGCTGCTTAGAAATAAACTTTGGAGGCCTGAGACGGCTCCATGGTCCTCCTGTGACACTGGACAACAAATCCCAGCTGGCATGCAAAGTGGAAGTGAGCGCCTTCAGCAGAAGCACATGGTTGTGATGGAGGATGGAGTTTGCCTTCTGTTAAAACCCTGTTCATCCGTCTGGCGTCTGAATTCGTGAGGCTGGCATTGGGACTTTCTAGAGAGCTTGGTGTGCGCTTATAGTGAGGAGAAGCCAAGCTGAGGCTGCTTTGGGGTCATGCTGCATATCGCTGCGCCAGATGGAGGCTAAGAAGGTCAGTTCCCGACAGATCGCAGACCAGGCCAGATGGGGCGGAGGGAACATCCATGCCGCTGCTAGGACCAGAGCGTGACAGGAGCTCTTGGCTGGCCCCGCTGGTGTTTCATCTCCTAGCAGGTAGGGGAAGCCATGAGGGAAGCTGCTCTCAGTTCCAAATCTTCCTTAACACAAAAGGCAGGCCAGACCTCAGGGCCTGGAGGAAAGTCATGTTGGATTTCATAGCTGGAAAAGAAAGCAGTGCTTCACTGGATTTTAGGAGCATGGTCACACAAAGTTTAGACTAAGAAGTAGATTCTTCTGGCTTGGACCATATTTCCAGAAGAGATGATACGGTGATAATAGATGCCTTGATTGAGTGCTTGCTGGATGCTAGGCTCTAAGTGTGTAACATGCTTTGTTTCAGGCTGGGCAGAATGGCTCATGCCTATAATCCCAGGACTTTGGGAGGCTAAGTCAACCGGATCGCTTGAGCTCAGAAGTTCAAGACCAGCATGAGCAGCATGGTGAAACCCTGTCTCTACAAAAATTACAAAAATTAACCAGTGCATGGTGGCACGCGACTGTAGTCCTAGCTATTGGGGAGGCTGAGGTGGGAGGATTGCTTGAGTCCAAGGGATGGAGGCTGCAGTGAGCCGAGATCACGCCACTATACTCCAGCCTGGGCAACAGAGCAAGACCCTGTATGAAAAACAAACAAACAAAAACCACCACCAAAACCCCAAAATACAAACATGCTTTGTTTCATTAATTCAAAATTCATAGGTATTCGTCAAATAAATGAGTAGAGATGCCTTTTCAATGAGTTTGTCTTCAGGACTAGATTTCGAGGAATGGAAAGAATTTAGAAATAATCCTTGAAACAGCCTTCTGAGTGGGGCATTACTGCCCGTGGCAGGCAGAGTAACGGCCCTCAGAGGTGTCCACATCCCATCCCTGGGACCTGTGACTGTGTTAGGTTACATGGCAAAGGGGAACTAAGGCACAAATGAGCTGACCTTTACATGGGAGTTTACCCCAGTTTATTCAGGTGGTCCCAGTCTAACTACAGAGCCCTTAAAAGTAGAAGAAAGGGGCAGGATTTTGGGTGTCAGAGTAATGCAATAGGAGAAAGACTCCTCCGGCTTTGCTGGCTTTGAAGCTGAAGGATGGAGCAATAAACCAAGAAGTGCAAGCAGCCGCTAAGAGTCTGGAAAAGGCAAGAAAGCCAATTCGCCCTGCAGTCTCCCGTGAGAACCAGCTCTGCTAACACCTCGATTTTAGCTCCATGAGTCCCATTTCCAAGTCAGAGCTCCAGAATTGTAAGATAATATGTGTGTGTTGTTTTACGCCACTGACTTTGTGGCAATTTGTTCTGCAGCTGTAAGAAACTAAAGCACTCCTGATCCCAGTTTACAGAGGAGGAAACTGGAGCACACGGCTAGAGAGTGGGAAGTAGAATTCACATCCAGCCATCAGATTGCTGATTCTTCGTTGACGAGAATGATGGGAGTTAAAATCCATATGCAGTAAGACAGTTTTTAAGAAAATTGACAGAATTTGAGAAAATTCTCCCTTGCATTCTGAGTTTTAAAAAGTCATTTGCTAAAGACCAAGGGGTAATTTTTAAAATGGCTTAAGCAAATTTGCAAGAGTGGGGTGAGGGAGACTAATGTCTGGATGAACCAAAGATTGTTAATAAAAAAAAAAATTGCAACTGTCATACACTGCTGATGGAATATAAAGTGGTAGGCGCTGTGGGGAAGTTTGGTGGCTCTTCGAAAAGTCAAACAAAATTACCATACAATTAATGAATTGCTAGTTGTAATTAATTACCCAGCAATTAGTTGCTAGTTGTACACCCAAAAGAATTGAAATAGGTATTCAAACAGATATTTATAGACCAATGCAGTGTTATTCACAATAACAGTGTTATTTCGCCAAAAGGTGAAAACAACTCCAGTGTCTCATCAGCAGATGCATGGATAGACCATGTGCTGTATCCATACAGTGGAATAATATTCAGCCATGA